CTTTTCATTCCAAGTCCATTCCTGTTTCCATTCACACGTTCAATAAACCGACTCAAGTTTTTGTAAAAGAACGAAGTTTAATTTATTTCGTGAGTAAACAAACATAACACACAGTTAAATCGCAGAAGAATAATCGATTGAGATTAGTCAATTTCTTGCTTCTGATTTCTGATTTATTACTAATATCTCATTGTAGAAGGCCCTTAACGCTTACACGTAACGAACTGCGATAAAGCCGGATTGTTGCGACCATATCAGAGAAGATGAGAGCAGTAGCAAATAAACGCGAATAGTTCGTACAATTGTCGAACGCTAAACACAACGCAACACTTTTTCGAGATTATAACAATTATTATCGGTATCGGACTCGCGGGGTAGCCCGTCGAAATTCGATCCACCAAGAATATAAATCACGAAATATGCGAGAGAGAGCAACAGTTATTTACGTTCGTCGGTCCTCCTCTTGCAGTTAGTCGACAAGTAAAATCGGCTTTTCTTTTTTGCGAGAATATCCTCGTAAGGATATCGCTCAAGTTCTCCCTTGTTCGGCACTCACTTCGCACTGGGAACTGCTCGGAGGCGAGGAACTTGTGTGGATCACGGTACGCGCAACAATGAGCTCACTTCGTTTGGCAATTACTCTATTGTCTGAGCGCTGTTCTTCGCGCTAGTTTACTAGGCTAATCATATGCTTTTTCCCCCGGCGCGGTGATTGATGCACGTGGCAGCCACGTATGCTTCGGCATAATAGCGAGTCGTTTTTTCTTGCCGTATCAGGTGCTCGCTCTGCGTCGATTATTCGATGAGATGAGCTTACTGAGGCCCATCCCTCCGCAATACGGAACGCGTCACTCCACAGAAAGCTCCAATTTGGATTTTGCTAAGTCAAAGTGCATGCATCTCGTCATTCTAAGCCCGCCGTCGAAATTATCGTCGAGTGTTCTGTGTCTATGACGCGTTACGCCTCTGTAAAAGAAGGTAGAGACAGAAAACAGTACAGAGAAGAAGATATTCTTTTCTCTTCCCGATCCAACGGTTACGTACAGCCCAGTCAGAAATACCTTGTCGAATCGACGTCGATCCAATCCAATAAGCGCATAGAAAACGCTAGTCTGGACTCTGTAGGCGTGTATAATTTTCAGTTAAGAAATTCAGCTGATCTTAAGAAGCTATGTTACATGTCGCTTGCTTGTATGCTTTTTTACTGTTAGGAGATTGCATGAAGTAACCCATATTTCTTTACAACTTCTTAAAATCATACACGTCTGCAAAGTTCGGGCCATCGTTTCCCACGCGCTCATTTACATGTATTAATTCACATGTATTAATCATCATATGTATTAAGTAATCATTTTCAATAATTATTATGAATATTTGCAAAATGATATAAGACTTTTCTATTTAGATTGACTCAATCTGTCTTCACATAATAGCGATATTAAATCGACTTGTCAATAATTGGTCGAAATTCGTGTCCAATTGTAAGTCGAATCGACTGCAAATTTCAACCGTCGATCGACTAGTATAATCGACGTCGATTCGACAAGGTATTTCTGACTGGGACAAGTATGCAGGATTATATATAATTACAAATTATAGAGCATATATATTATATATATATATATATATGTATAGTTATATATAAACGGGGTGATTGCTATATATACGATTATACTTAAGTGCGCACTATGCATTATTCACTACGCATTGTGAATATTATACAGGGTGATGCAAAACAACCCGTTATCCTTGAAAATACTTATTCTTATAAAATATATATGACTAAATTTTAAGACAACGTTTTATTTGGCAAAATTTTGTCTGAAGCTTACGTTTTGACATAATAATAAAAATAGTTGATTTATTACGAGTCGAATACAAGATATAGGCAAGGCTAGCGCAACTCACCGTGATTGATAGTGATTTATGTGATGCACGGATTAAGTAATAGAAATTACGAATGAATAAATAAGTGAGAGAAAAGAGAGAGAGAGAGAAAGAGAGAAAGAGAGAGAGAGAGAGAGAGAGAGAGACAGAGAAAGATACAGAAACAGTGGCCACGTTCAGCAGATACAACTGAGTTAAGAAATAATCACTTATGATTAGATCATACTTTTAGAACCGAAGCAGATTTTGAGGAATAGTCCTATCACAAGTGATCATCTCTCAACTGTTGTGCAACTGTTGTGTCTGCTGAACGCGGCCAGTGTGTAACGATCAGCTGATCACGTCAGGCACCACACATAATCGGTCGCGCGAGATGCGTCATCCCTGTCTACCTCTTGTATTCGACTTGTGGTAAGTCAATTNTTTTTATTAATAACTCAAAAAATAGAAGCTTCAAACAAAGTTTTGCCAAATAAGAAGTTTTATTAGAATTTAATCAAAACTATGTATTTTCAAGGATAACGGGTTGTTATGAATCACCCTTTATATATATTTAATGTTTACAATATTTTTTGTATAATTTTATATAAATTTCTGTTAGTCTCCTATGTAATTACGTATAAGTCATTACAGTATATATTTAAGTATATATACGGTGTGCATCATATATAAAGTACAACAAATATGATTTAGATATAGTCATACATAATTATGATAGACGGTATGAGTTGAAGCACAGACTTTCGCGTAATGTACAACGCAAAAGATATAAAAGAATCAATCAACTCAGTCTTTTATTTTCATTCTTTACTTCTTGTTCTAGAATGCTTTGATTGGTCGATTCTTTTATGCGTTTTCCATTATGCTAAAGTCTGAGCTTCGGCCTTGCAAATATCACTTTATAATTTAAATCCGTATTACATTTTCTTCACAGTCTATAAGACGGTCACTTGAATCGGTACAAAAGACGTCATATTGTTTGAAACAAAGAGACATCACAAAGATATCAGTAACTATAATAGCAGATTCTGTTTAATATCAGCTCTATTATATCTTTTGTAACGATACACTTTTTATTTGTTTCTGTACTTTCGCTGTGTTTCTTTGCTTGCATGTGGATGCTTTCCAGTTAGCGACACAAATCAACACAAAAATCATTCTGTTCTCTCAATATTCATTGAAAAATAAAAATAAACTAATTTTTGTTTCGGCTTGTGTCATTACCTGAAAAGCACCTGTTGCTACACTATTTACTTTGATACACAGCAGAGTGAAATCTAAAGCAAAGTCTTGATTTGATGTGCACAACATATCTTTGAATACTTCTTTTGTTTTGCTGTATAAATACAAGATTATGCTACACTAGTAATCTTGAAAAAAGAAAATGTAGTTATTTCTAGGTATGTTCCACGAACGCTATTGTTTGCACTAGTTATGGTAACTTATTCATTAACCCATTTGCATCATAAGCGCATATATGCGCGCATTTTACTTAGGCATTTATCACCAAAGCGCATATTATTTATACCAGACCTGTCCAGCGGTGGGGCCCCTCACGCACTTTATTTTCCTTCTACGCTCTTAGACATTTTCATTAAAATTTAAATACAGTAAAAAAAAATTTTGGTAATAAGAACGAATTTTTGACTTTTCTCTGTGATGCAAATGGGTTAAGAATCGAATAAATACTGGCTTTATCAAAGACATTAATGTTTAAAAGTAATAATTTAATAAATTTTAAAATTTGGTTCTTTGTACTTTCTTGGTAATTCTTTTGTAAATAGTAATGTATGTTGAGATGCATCTTTAGAAAATCAATATATGTAAATTTCTCTTCAAAATCCATTTTATTTTGATTTACAAAAAATAGTTTTTTAAATCACAATCCGTATTTTTTAGTCACAACTCACAACCCGTAGTGTGTTCAAAACAACACAGCAAGGAAAAAGCAATAATAATAATTTGCTGTCAATTTACAGAAAACAAAAAATTTCCTGAAAACAATTGTCTGTTTTTACAACATTTACCTATTTTTTATATGCTTGAGTCCGCAAAGTTAAATTAAATCAATTTTGATATCGTTACATTAATGATGAGATTAGTAGAGTCATAGTTTCCACTAAATAGTCATTATTAGATTCATGTATATTAAGACACTTGGTATATAAATTTTTTTTGAAATTGCGCACTCTTCCAGAAATTTTGCATATCTTTTCCAGATAATTGTTTGTTTTTGCTAAATTGACAGCAAATTACTTCATACTTTTACATTCTCTTGTTATTTTTCTCGACGATAAACTATTTATTGCTCTTGTTTTATTTGTCCATTAATAGCAGCTGCAACCTGTTCAGTATTAATTATTGATATATGATCGCTATCTACGTAGTGAATTTGTACATTTTTGCTTATCTGCAAAAATACATCTGTTATATAAAAATATATAAGGTAGGACAAAAATATATATTACATAAGAAAAGTGGAATATGTGCTAAATTACTTTATTTAGACCGAAATCTTCTTCTACCGAAGGAAGTAATGAATTTGTTGCTTTCAATAATATTATAGGTGACCGGATTGAAACCAATGAAGACATATCATATTCTCGAATAGCAATTAAATGTTTGTAAATTGTTGTACAAAATATTTTAATAGAATCAGTAGAAATCGTATTGGTTATTTCAGACTTATTTTTGATTAAAATATTTACTTTTTCTTCCCAGGTAACATATTTACTCATTTCTGATATAATCTGAAACAAATATTAAACAACTGTTAGTAAATGTTAAACGTATAGAATATGTTTCTATTTGCCATAGTTTTAATGTGTCAGCGCTATATATATATATATATATATATATATATATATGTATGTATGTGTATATGATATATTGTATAATATGTATGTTTGTCTTTCACACATGTATGTGTAATATTATATATTACATACCATTTCTGATACAGGTATATTAAACACATCCATTATTTGTTTTAACACAATAAGTTGAAATTCTTGATTATTGGTAAAAGGGAAAAATGTTTCCTGTAAGAGTTTTAAGTACTTGGGAGTTCCGTCGATTAATACTAATCGCCCTCGAAAGTTTTTAGCTTCTAATTGTTTTACCATTTCAATAGCAATAAGAGATCCATAGGAATATGCGCCAATTACAAATTCTGTAGAATCTGTTAGTTTTGATAAAATATGCTAAAAAATACAGGATTTTTGTAATTAATATTGCTTGTAAACACCATAAAACTTATAATTTCATTTCTAGATGTAAAAGTTTCTATTTCACTACATACAGGTAGAAGATCAGTGGCTGAGTGTACTACAGATTGAGCAGATTCAGGAAGATTAATAGAACTATGTTGTAGGCATAGTGCAGGAGCTTTAATTTTTGAAGCTATTGAGTTGTATACGTTAGCAAATCCTTCAATTCCTGGCAAAAGAAATACTTGGTTTCTACCTACTTCTCGTTGTGTAGAGAGCTCTATACAAATGTTTGAAAATATATCTAAGTCAGATATTAACCGGAAAAGATTAAAGACTTTTATATGTTGCGAGTTATTTGTGTCAAGTTGTTTTTCAATATTCTTTTGGTCGTACATATCTTTTTTAGCTATTTCTTTGAGCTTAGCAAAGGTGAGATTGCGAATTTGTTGGATTGTGAAAAAGACACTGAATTCTCTTTCTATTGTTTGCTTAATTTCTAAACTCATCATAGAATCCATACCGAGTTCAGACAAGAGTACCTGTTCTCCAACTCCTTTTAGAGTTTTTAATCCTATGTGTGTGAGAGACAAAGAGAGAGCGTTAAGTATGAAATTTATATACAAACATGTAAAAGTACCATTTGATAATGGAAAAAAAAATCAATGTTATTGTTGATACAAAGAAAGAAAGAAAGAGAAGAGTTTATAATATAGTAATTTGTATATTTACCCATAATGTTCATCACAACGTGCAGAATATCTCCAGAAGCTTTCGATTTTGTAGCTACAATCATACTGCTTACAATCGGTCGATTCTGCATTAAGAAAGTGTTTAGTGATTGTAAACAAGATGATATTCGTTGTTGCAATGTTCCACTGATAACTAGTTCTTTATTGTTTTGTTGCATGTCAGCGACAAGACCGACATCACCTATCGCACCCCATTGAATAGCCATGCCAGGTAATCCATCTTGCGCTCTTTTTTCGCAGATTCTTTCCATTATCGAATTGGCCATACCGTAGTTAGTTTGTCCAGGATTTCCCTTTCCACAAGAAACAGATGAAAATACCACAAAATGTCGCAGATGAGGACACATTTTTCTAGACAAATCGTCCAGTTGCTTTGTAGCTAGAGCTTTCGACTGAAATGTTTCTTCAAATGTTTCCGGNGTTTGATTCGTGAAAATATTATCTTTTAGCACAACTGCGAGATTAAATATAGCATCTACTGGTCCTAATGTGTTGGCAAAACGTAAAATGGAAGCACAATTTTCATGAGTAGATGCGTCAAAGCCTGTCATTATGTGCACATTTACTCCATACGATTTCCATAACTCTACTCTTGACAGTTGATAACCGTTCTTTATACCATTTCGTGAAATGAGTATAATTTTTCGAGCGCCACGAAGAATCAACCAGTCAGTTAATTCCAGGCCAAAACCGCCTAATCCACCCAAAATAATATAAGATTTATGTTCATGACAGAAATATTGAGGATACGCGAGAATAGGAGCGTCCTCATCTTCCTCTTCTGTACGTACTTTTATAAGTACCTAAAAGGGAAAATAAAAAGTCTCAATAAAGTTATATTTCAAAATTATATTTAAAGTTAAAAGTCTTACTAAATTTAAAAGGTTTTAGTGAAGTTATATTTCAACTGTTCTTTGTATTGAGACAGAAACACACAAAATAAAATATATGTTTTAATAAAATATATTTTCACGACACATGACCCAAAATTATGTGGTGCTTTTATTTTTACATTTCTATTCAGTAATTGGTTTTAATTTTTAATTAAATAACTAAATAAATTGATAACAATTTGTAAAGAGNTGGCTACAATATTGTTGGTTGCAAGAATATCGCAAAACATTGAAAGCTGNTTGCAAAATAATTAGGGCTAAAGTTTTTGTCACCAAATAGCAATTGTCTTTATCGAACTATCGATAGCAGATTAATAACAGGAACTGAATAATCTAGTAAAGCCACATATTCAATTCTACTTAAATCTTAAGAGTTAAGTAACATTTTGCTAAGAATGTTTTTACTTAAACTTTTTTATTTGAAATTTATGGTGGAAAAAACCACTGTGTAAATCGGTATAAGTATACTGAAACGTTTATATGTAAATTCTAAATAAGTATTTTTTTAAGTAATGTATATATGAAATATACAACCTCGATCACGCATGACGCGACCGCCTTTAGTTGCTATACACAGTATTACATTTTGTTTGAAAATTGTAATTTTAGGATTACTTTAACTTACTTTTCCTATATGTTTTGCAGCTGCCATATGTTTAAAAGCGGTTTCTACTTCATGTTGTTCAAAAACTTCACTTACAAGTGGTACGATCGCTCCACGCTGAATCATAGTGTTTATCGAGTTACGAATATTTATTTTTCTGGTTGCATCAGTACTAATAAATATTTTATCTAACATAACTCCATAAAAACTAATGCCTTTTGAAAATTTTTTTAAATTTATTGTATTGTTAGATAGTAAATCATACTTTCCAATTTCTAAAAATCGACCACCTCTTGCCAAACACCGAATAGATGCTTGCAGTTTGTCTTCTGCTAAAGAATTTAGCACGATGTCCACACCTCGACCTNTTGTTTGTTGACTAATCATTTGTTCGAAGCTGGTGTCTCGAGAATTTCCTATATGATCTTCAGGNATAGAAGGAAATTTTTCTCTTATAAAGTTTCGTTTTTCAGGTGTTCCTACAGTTGTAAAAACTTCACATCCTTCAAAAAGCGCGAGATAAATTGCAGATTGCCCAACGGCACCAGTGCCGGAATGTATAAGAATTTTATCTCCTTTCTTTAAGTTTCCACGTGTGTACAAAGCATAATAACTCGTACAATATGCAATTGGGACAGTTGCAGCATCTTCAAACGTCCATTTGTCAGGAATGATCCAAGAAAGTTGTGGATCAGCCACAATAAGATTCGTGATTCCTCTAAAATGGTTTACTTAAAGTAGTACTTTATAAAATACACATATTATAATTCTCTATGTTTTAACAGTAAACTTTGGAGTCTGTAGACAGAACATTCAATGCGTTACGCGTTACAAGAAACAACACAGTAGCATTTTACTCTCATAGAAAAGCAATAACAAAATATTAGTTGGCGTAGCTTTTAGTCATACGTAAAGCATTGATTTTTCTATCTGTAAAAATCTCTAAAATTAATTTTTATCCATACATAGATAAAAAATTATGTGCGGTGCACGCACATACGCATGCACAGAAAGTGCATAATCACATAACTGAATAATATTTAAATAGATTGTTTTTACTATCAAAATTCAAGTAACTTTAATTTTGTTTGTATGTCCCGACTTAAATAAGGTCGCGCAACTCGTGTCAAACCTTAGAATTATACAGGAAAGGATTGTGAATTGCATCGATCAGCTTAATCTTGTAAAATTGAATTATTGAAAATAACTGTTTTGTATATAAACTGTAACAACTAATAAATTTGTGTTTTCCATACCTTACAGTAGATATTCCCATTATTCTTTTACCAGCTGCATTGTACCCGACAAATTCACATCCTAAGAGAGAATCGATACTTCTTGCGTTTCCAAAAATCTCTAAAGAAATTCTACCGGTAGCTATCACAATATCCTTGAAATTAAGTGATGCGTAAACTACACGTACGAGATTTTCTTGTTTGTAATCAGGAGATATCGGGCCTTCAACCCAACGCAACTTGCTCAAATCACCTCGCACCTACAACAAATATTCAATACTGTTGTAATAAAAAATACACAATAGGTAAATATCATAAATTAATTTATAAATTTATATGAACATACACTCTGAGCGACATAACCATGCTGTACCAATTTTGGTTTTAGTTGTGGTAACGGAAGATGTCTATACGATCCCCAAACTTTGTTGGGGCGTAAAATATTAATAGGCAAGTCCAAGTGTAATTGGTTTATGTAGAGAGAGTCTTGTAAAGAGAATTTCGGCGCATTTTCATCTTGGATAAATACACATCTAATCTTGTCATCTGTTTTGTTCAGCTCTTTTCGTAAACAATTGATAAAACCCAATATGCCACATTCAAAATCGTCCGCAACTAATATTGTTCTTGTGGATGCGTTTAATTTATCATCCATGTTTAATACAGACTTCAAGTTGTTAATCCACGAAAAGTCAAAGTTATTTATATATATAACTTCTTGCGGTACAATGCTTTGTGTTTTTCTTAAAAGCACAAATGCTTCTTTCTCTGTACGTTTCTCTAAAACTATATTCAACTTATATTGTTGTAATAATGTATAATTGTAGGACTCAGTGAGATTTTCTCTTGACAGCACAAAGCAACCTTCCTTTAATGTAGACAATAATGTATTGATTAATTCACTTTTGTTTTTTGTTAAAAGTTTGAAAACAATAATCATTAGGAAATTGTTATCTTTTGTCAAATTGTCGGTCTGCTTGATATTTGGAGATAATTCATTATTTTTGAAACGATTAGCTGGAGCAATTAATGTAACATTTGGTTCGATCATTGGCAAATTATTTAAAATGTCATAAAGGATTGTAGAGATTAGATCTTGCTCTGTAACTGTGTCAACATCTTCAATTATTTCAATAAAATTTGTTTGTAGTACTGAATTACATTCAAGCGAGATATGCGCTGATATTTGTATAATTTCTGTTAGAGACATGACAGCACGATCACAATGAGCAATAAAACAATATTCATCATGAATAGGTTCAGTAACTTGTCGAGGTATATATGTAGCCATAACGCCATAAATTTCTATTCCTCCAGATATTATAACGTCCAGAGAATCATAAACGCGTACAGAAAAGTCTGAAATAAATATTGTATATCTTCAGTAAAGAAATTGAAAAAGAAAAGAGAGTGAGATAGCATAATAGAGATGTATAATGGTAGAGACAGAAGAGAGATTGTCGATAATTGTTTCACAAAAAACACTCGATGTAGAAGAATGTTTGTGATAATACTTTGAAATGTCTGTTAGTGGGCATGGTAACAGATATTGCACATATGTAATTTAGATCTTTTGCCATGACAACATATGTGATAATATTAAAAGTATTAAATGTGTGTGTGTATGTGTGTGCAGAAAGTTTCTTGTTTTCTTTATATTATTTTTTAGTTACATTTTATCGTACAAATTTTATCCATAAAATATGATATGTGGAGTATATTTCAGTATACTATACTTACTCGCTTTTTCATCAGCCGTAGTTTGTATTTGCTTTATGTGTAATTGAGGATCAATTACTAATTTACGAATTCTTGTTGGTACGAAAAGACTTCTTGAATCTAGTAACAAAATTTTCATCTGCAGCATGTTGTCAATAAATGCTGTCCAATTGTCTGACCATGTAATATATCCCATTTTTGCTGAAATTGATGCACTTTTCAAGCCTTGAAATATACCATAATAGTGATAACCACGAAGTCGTAATTCTTTGTAAATATCCTTGGTATTCATACATTTTGTAACGTTATATTCAGGTTCTTTTAAATTATGAATAAATAAGTTATGATTTGCAATATCATGTGGAATCCACACTTTTCCAGTAACAACAACAGTAGTTTCTTCACTAATTTCAAACTGATTGCTGCCTATATAATAATTAATAGGAAAAGAATAGAGAAAGAAACATATGTATAATAAATTTTTTTGTATGTGTGTGTGTCTGTAAGAGAAAGAAAGAAAGAGAGAAAGAGAGAGAGAGAGAGAGAGGTGAAAGAATGAAAAACAAACATACTAAATAAACTTTTACCTTTTTGTATTGAAAGAGTCAGTTTAACAGTAGTCGTTTTTGATAAGTAAGTAGCACGAAGAAAGTTAACATCTTCAAATATAATTGGTATATTTTTATAGTTACAGCATAACATTGTTCCAATCATTTTCCAAATTAAAATCAGATAACCTGAAGCTGGCAATAGAATCCTACCGTCAATTACATGATCATACATATATTTCAAATTGGAATCTTTGAGTGTAATCTCTTGAATTGTTTCTCTAATGTTAGGTTTTTTCTTATTTAGAAAGTTTGCAACGTAACAATTTTCAGAGTGATCCCATCTATAACAGCAATAAAATATAAACTATATAACTATATAAAATATATAACTATATATAATATTAGGTAAAATTAATCCTTATTTTGTATCAAAACAAAAAAACAAACAAACTTTATTAGAGGAGATATCATTGGTGTTCCACGACTGACTGGAAATTGTATTGGCGGATATAAGTTTGCAACTTGCGGTTGACATCCGATAGTATAAAGATTGCCAATTCCTTTCAAAATGCTATCTATATTATTTTGTTGACCGTGTTGAGATAATGAAATATAGTTTGAATCTAAACAGTTTTTCATAAAAAATTGCCACTTATTATATGATATTATTTCAATAACTACCACATTTTTCGGAATCATAGGTAAAATTTCTTCAAGTGACGAATATACTGCACTGTGTGCATAATATTCTGCAGCAGATANCTGCGTAAATGAGTTGTATATTTTNTTGTGAGGCAAAAACTTGTTTAACCATTTCTTACTATACTTAAAATTTTTCATAGATTTATATGGTGCTATGTGATTCAGATATTCTAGTAGATTTAATCTAGTAGATTCTGAATACTGATTAGAAGCAGCAGAAATATAATCACACTGAAAAAAACACATAACAATACAGTAACATGCGTATGTACACAGAATAAAGTACTTACACTTACTTACCTGTTCTACTTTTATTTTATCAAACGCAACACTCATATAATACGCCATTAAAATTGTTTCNTCAACAGTAAAAAGTTCATCCACATATCCGCACAAAAGTTCACCAATCGACTGACCAAGTACATAATCGGGCACAATTCCAATATGTAGTAAAAGATCTACCATTGCAATCTATATAAAAGTAACATAACATATTCTATTATAGATAATATATCATATCATCAGAACTACTCTATCGAAATACGATTTACTGGCTGGTTTAAATGCCAAAAACTAGATATATGTTGTATATGTGTGCAAAATTAGTAAAATATAAAATACACACATTTTAATTTTAGATTAGACGTACTTGTGTCACGCAGTCGCCACAATTCAACAAATATAAAAAGGAAATTGTAAATATACAAAACTAAAGTTTCTACAAACTAAAGTTTTTTTTTCTATATTTACCTGAATACTAATGATTGCCACGAATGATTTTATACTGTCATTGCAAGTAGTTTCCTTTTTATTTAATAAAATGTCTGTGACACATATACCATATGGTTTTAGTGCTTCATCACATTTCTGAATTGTTTTGACAATTATTGGTAGTTTCANTAATTCTTTGCCTGAAAAATAACACATAAAAATATTATTCATATGCATGAATTCAAAGTGAACATTCAAACAAAAACATGCTTAAATAAACAAGAAATTTATATATATTTCAAATAAATTAACAACAAGACCAAATATATAAAGAGCTCTTTTGAGTTTGTTGTGATGTAAAGAAAAGCAAGAAATAGTAATTAACGGCAAGTACAAACCAAAATGTAACGTGAAAATAAGTAATAATGTGACAAGTATGCAATCCGAAATANTTTAGTTATATTTTCAACCTTCTGAGGTGGATATAATAAATGGTGAAAAAAAGAAATAAAAAAATTGATTTGGAAACTCACGTGTAAGATTTACTCGTGAATACATATAGATATATATATATACATATATATACACACGTATATTTACACACAACATNCAGCGAACGGCTCTTATTACCGTTTATATATTTCTAGTTTAAACTTCAGAACCTAAAGTTCTCTAATTGGTAAAAAAAATGAAAACATTATCCAAACACAATTCATATAAAACAAATCTACATCATTGTGTGTCAAACATTTCACAGTCATTGATTTACTGAATTATGGTTAGAGATCATATAGCATAAAAAAAATAAATTAACAACGAATATAAATAAATANAGCAAAGAATATATTGACATAAATTGAAAATGATAGTTTTTCAGCATTTTTAGAGTGAGCGTGTTCGTGTACAATACATACATGTGTGCGTATGAGTGTGTATACACATATAATACTTTATATATTTCATAAGTATTTTATATATTTTATATAATACTTTATATATTTTGTAAATCATGTATAATAATTTATTTAAATAAATACCTATATTACTCCATATGACGTCTGTTCCGGGAAATAGAAAACAAATTTGTTTACTTATATTTAAATAACATTCTAGCTTATTAATTGACCTATGATCTTCTGTTAATCCAACTATAGTATATCCTCTATACGGGTGACGTTCTATATTTTTATTATAAGTGCTGTGTAAAAGAGCAATATATTCTGTATCTACCGGCCGATTATGCACCTATAACGAAATAAAATACGTTAATTAAAAAAACCAAAAACAATAAAAAAAAGTAAATTGTTTCAAGATATAAGGACTCATAAAGTCATTCTGCAAGTACTCATCAAAAAATAGCTTGTAACTAGTGTTTCACAACCGCCTCAATGTCAATCAGCTACAAGAATATGCAATAAAAAGGTTCTATGTACAAAAATCGATGTGACCGTGACATTATCCAAGGTCAACTTATTAACATCAGTAAATATATAGTTGTATACTTTGCACCTTTTGTTTCAAACATTGTTTTTAAAACTGAGTCTACTTTCCGAGAAATTTAGCTAGTTTGGACTATACAAAACACTCTAATGTTTCATATTACTTGCGTCAGACAAATATCTCAAAAAATATGAGAAATACAAAAAATTATGTTTCAGAACTTCTTAGATGCTGACATTTGATCTGAAAATTATCTCCCCCTTTGTGCTAAATTTACTTACAAAATTTTTAAATGGGAACCCGTATTTTTGCAGTTGACGTTGACAAGTTTTCGAAACACTATCTACTTATTTCTTTTGCACAAGCCAATCTCAAAATTTAAAGCTCCAGAATTAATCTAATTTTGGTTAAATAAAAATGAAAAAAAAATTTTTTTGATTCTTGATTAATATAATTTCTAAGCTCTTACATCATCCAGAATCGTTTTAACAGCTTCTTCAGTACGACCAGACACAATTACAAGTCTAGGTAAGTCGTCTAGTTTTTTNATCTTATTTTTCGGATTTGATTTTAATAATACATGACAGTTTGCGCCACCAAATCCAAAAGAATTTACACCTGCGTACCCGCCATTCCAAGGTGTAAGTTCAGTAATAATTTTAATTCTACCTTCAAGAACAGCAGTAAGATCTTTTCGCNGTGATTTGAAGTGCAGAGTTGCTGGAATTTTACCAGTTTCCATTGCTATCAGTACCTGTAANATTTACAATTATGTGTACTATTATTACGTTACAGCAGAGTTTCCCTTGACTCAACTTTTCAGAATCGAGTTGTTTCTATGACTTTTATCAGATGTTACCCTCACTCTTTGTTGAATTTCTACAAATTGCGCATCATTGCTTATATTGCGTATATATTATCGAGTGACAATAACATAATTTTAACACTTTGCGGTTATTTTAAACCACGGCCAAATTTATTTCATGCAGCTGATTAAGTGTAAGATAACTAAAAATACGATCTAGAAGGCTTTTATAAAAAGTCTTACATTACTTTCAGGCTTAAAAAGTTGCTGCTAAGTTTTTGCAGGAAAGTTTCAAATGGTAAATTTCTGTTATTCGACGCATTTTTATATAAAAAAACAACAAAAGAATTTGAAAACGGAAAAGAGATTTGCGAGACGAGTTTCTAAGCGTGAAAGATGCAGAGTGTAATGTTTAAAAAAATGGTATACCGTTTAGACATTAACTGACTGATTTTCACAATAAGAGATGCGTTTCAGCGGTTTTGCTTTAGACAATAGAACTAGATTGCTTCTTAAAGCGCTAAGCGTTTAAAGCAAATACACACATGAACATGCGTTGTTCGTATGCACAGCTATTCAAACTAATAACAACTATCGTATGTTTTCAAAATCTTAGAATTTATATTTTGAACTTTTTGTAGAAACAGTATACAACGAAGTAAAAATGGGTCATTTATTATAGCTTATCATGTATATATCTACATACTTTTGCTATTTGACAGAGACCGCTAGCAGGCTCAGAATGTCCAAGATTTGATTTTATTGAGCCCATCAATAAAGGACTATTTCTGTTTTTACAGAAAGCGTGATCAATAGCTTTAACTTCTACTGGATCGCCTACTACAGTACCAGTTCCATGAGCTTCCATATAAGATATCTCAGAAGGTGCAATTTTGCATTCCTCATAAAACTCCTCTAGTAAAGCTTTCTGCATTTCAAAAGAGGGATATGTAATACCTTCTTCTTTGAAACCATCGCAATTTGTTTTAACATTAACACATGTAGCGTAAATTCGTTTTGCATTTTTTGCTTTCTGCAAAACCAGCACTGTCACAGTGTCGCCCCGCATGTAACCACTGGCTTTTTCATCAAAAGGTCTGCAGTAACCATCAGCGGACAATACTCCTAAAAGTATTTAAATAATAATAGTTTGTTTTATGGACATGTTATTTTTCTGGTCAATTTTCTGCATTATTAATGTACATTAGGCGTCATGTATGCGCGGCGAAAGAAATAAATTCTTTTTAGCGGTTTCCTGCTACTGCGCTAATTTATTTCACTTGGCTCTTATTTGATCGTTTATCATCAGCTAAAGATGGTCAGCTAAAGCAGTCTGACGCAATAAGAAAACAGAACTAGAAAAAATTCATGTCTTTCCGCACAATTTAATGTCAATAATCATTATCATGAAAAAACGATGTTGAGAATGACCTCCGGTTCCGGATACAAAAATTAATGATGCAAGAAGACGACAATGGGAACCATAATTACGGGATGAAATATAATAAATGTTAATACATATATCACTATTCTAAACGTTTTGACTATATATTTAAAGTCATCTTCAGTGGAAACTACAAATACATACTTAATACAATTGGCAATTATAAATATCAAAAGTTTAATTAAGAATTAAATTACATATAAAAACAATAAAAAATAATAAAAAATTGTATATAAAAAAATTGTGAATTATTTCTGATTGCTACTTTTATGAGAGGATCAAAGATACGCTCAGTATTTGATATATATGGAATTACACAATAATGTGTTGGTGGTTTGTCTGTGTTGTCTAAAAGAGTATGATTTTTAAGATTTTTATTAAGTTTATTAGAGAACAACATTTTAAGCCTGTTCATTATTTTAAAAATAAAGTCGAGTGGATGATTATTAGTTAACAGAGTGTCAATAACATAATAAAGATTTTTACGATGATATATGGGTTCTGATAATAAAATAGATCTATCAATCAATGTAAAAACAGTGCCCATTTTATGGTTTAATGGACTTTGTGAAAAGAAATTGAGATATCTATTACATTTCATCTCGTAATTGGTTCCTATTTCTCTCTTCTTGCATCGTTAATCATTATCATATTTTGTGATAAACTTGAAAACCAAATATGTACTGTGTAATAATAGTATCATTTAAAAAGTAACTTTACCAAGACTAAAGAATTGATACGTTATATAAGGATGTAAGCACAGGTTAACACCAGCTACAATGGCCGCATCACATTCTTCGTTTTTCATTCTTGTGTACGCATGAGCTAAAGCGAAAAGACTTGAACTGCAGGCTGTATCTACAACGTATGATGGTCCAGAGACATTTAACCAAGAAGAAATCTTGTTTGCCAAGAAAAGTTTGGCAGATGAATGTACATGTTCAGCTACCTATAATTACACATAAAATATAATTACACATACATATGTACATGTGTATACAAAAAGTGTCCGATAATTATTTTAACATCTCTCGTAGGCAGAGAAAACAAGTAAATCTGAGTCAAAAAATTTTATATCATTTTGCGAGATTCGCAATAGTTATCGAGATCTTAAGTAACAAAGATCCGCGAATAAGCATGTAGTAGGCTGTTTTACGCGCTTCGCGCGGCTATTTTTTATTATGTATACGTTATAGTATATGGTGTTATATTATAGCTCCTTTCATACGTTACTACGGGTAATACCGTGAGCGCGCGAAACGCATCGGGCAATCTTACGCGCGTAAGACAGCCCGATACATGCTTATTCGCGGATCTTTGTTAATTAAGATCTTGAAAACTAATGCGAATTTAGCAAAATGGTATAAGACGTTTCGACTCTGTTTTACTTCTTTTACGTGTTTACGAGAGTTGTTAAATTAATTGTAGGACACCATGTATATAAACTAAAGGTGCCTATTATGAGATAGTCGCTTAATGCGAGATAGCTATTTTATTGTAAATGGCTGCAAATTCATAATTGCATATTTTTAACACATCACTTACACAAAAACGTCAAACTTTTTGGTAGTGCCGTTCATTGCCGAAAGTGACGTGGTGTCTGCGAAGAAGTTATCGCGTACGCGCAGATAAGAAAAATAATCATTATAAATTTAAAATATGTATTTACCACTTTTATGTCATAGGCTTCACTGTCATTTCAATTCACTCAAATGTATACATGCATTATAAGTGGTTTATCATGTAGTTTTGTAAATTTAGTATATACTTTATCGGTAAACTTTACCTTTCTACAATTTTATATTCTCTAATATGAGACACGCAGTCGCTCTCAATATGAGGTACTTTATATTAAGAACTGTCAAGTTTTTTATTTTGTCAAGTTCTTTCTTTGATGGATTAATAAGTGTTTAGTAATCATATTTTCACATAGAGGCAAGAAAGAAGCAATCGTGGTTTTACAGTCAATTAGAGGCTGTTAAAACAGTAAGAAGCAAACCAGTGAAATATTCAATAGCATCTAAACACTTTAACGTCCCATACTACTGAACAACATATGTTAAGAATGACGATAGTTCTATTGTTGCTTAGATTCTTATAGGAAAGAAATTTCTTGTGTCTCATATTAGAAACTTTTTTTTTGAATGGGCAAATCGGCACTTTTGATAAAAAAAAATTTACATACAATAAAGTATAGATATTATCGATTGCTCATTTTTGGTGATAAACCTTGAATATATTTCCCATAAGTTCAACATAAAACTAGAAGTTAAGATTACATATTTAGTAAATAATAAGCCTTTACAAAAAGGTATCTCGTAATAGACACTTTTACTCTATACCTATACATATATAGAGTAAATATATGTATACACATATATATATATTTTATTATGCTTTTGCGTGCCATTACATTTACTTTGATAAATAGAAACTATTTTTGTTTGAGTCAATATTTCTTAATAAACAAATTGTGAAAATATTGCACAAAAATGGCATAATGAGTGACGACGATTTTACAATGATTGCACTAAGATGATTCGCCATATCATTATTCTTTGACGAAATAGTATTTGGAAAGTAATTTTGCAAACAAACACAAATATTTTATAAAAGATCAATGTTTTTACATCTATTTCCGAAAATATATTTAATTAGTTGCAAATTTACAATTTTAGTGCAAGATTTCGTCACATAATTTTGTAAATGTTTTCATATCAAGGTTATATCCATTTTTTGATACTTTTAATTTTACATAATTATTTTACCGTGCTCATAACCGGACGAGCAATTGGGTCACATTCTCTTTTCCACTTTTTTTTTGCTTTGTCTCTAGTCTCTTTCAGCATTTCTCTTTATTTTCCATTCTCTTCTGTCAAGTTAGGATTGTACAGTAGACTACTACTATCACGCGATACACACGGCATAGTGGGCTTGCCCATCTGTATCGGGCTCGTGCCTGGGGCCTGGATCTTTCTGTTATACCGATCAAACGAGTAATTCGTATTTTAGATTGCATTTTGTATTTATTGCTTGGATAGAAAAACGACTCTACAGAAGAAAAGAAAAGTATGAAATTAATCTCGGACACATTTCAATATATAAAAAACTTAACAACAATTTTTAAAGTTACAATCACCTCCACTTTTATTGTACTAGCATTTACAGTTTAAGAATTATGCATAAAAACCAAATTAATGTCCAAGATAAACATAACATTCAAAAATGTAATGACTATTAGACTACGATTTGGAAGACAAAAATATACAAACACCGACTAATACGTTTAAATTTAATATAATTTTTTTTGATATATGTGTCCTTGTTTCTCAAACGACGTTCTATGGTTGATGTCACTTGTATAGGTAACAGTCATGATATACAGGGTGTCCGACAATTACTTTGAAATCTCTCGTTGGCAGGTAGAAGAAGTAAAACTGAGTCAAAAAGTCCTGAACCATTTTTTTCTATTACATATAATAAAGGAGAAATTATTGAGTAAATCAAGCTAATCAGCGCCTACCTTTAGCCGAACGCATGTCAGTGAACCACGGTGTGCGTGAACGCTCCGCGCGGCTCACAAACGTGCGCCCGGCTAAAAGTCGACGTTGATTGGATTGATTTATTCAATAATTACTCCTTTATTATATGTAATAGAAAAAAATGGTTCAGGACTTTTTGAGTCAGTTTTACTTCTTCTACCTGCCTACGAGAGATTTTAAAGTAATTGTCAGACACCCTGTATATAGTACGCACCAGGACCCTCTTAAGATCGCCTTGTGGGAGAGAAAATAATTCGAAATTTTACTCAAATTAATTTTTTGATGGCCCGATTTAGTTCGCCAATCACTTGATTAACTCGATTGAAAGAGACTGACCCAGAAAAAAATCCTAAGGTGATAAGCGGATTCGAACTTGGCACCCTCATGTTTGTAACCCCTGCACTCAGGCCGCGAGACCACTGAGCCAGTTCCAGTTTTTGATATTGCTAATAAGTGGTTATACTTTAGTACTCACAATTTGCATCTTCAGCCGAAGTTTTAAGAATGACGCCTCTTTGATTTTCTTTACTCGCTTGTACACATTTCAACGACGGTTACCGTTTCAAGACGCAAACGCGCTTCTCTTTTAGCACGCTTTTTATTAAGCATGAGACAGAATTATTGTTGATACGAGCAGTAAAGAAAAAGCAGCAAAAGTGCCTATCTCTATCAGGAATTTTGTGTAAACAATTCCGAGCCTGAATTATTATTACATATGCACACAGATACAAAACAAAAATCGCTTTTTTTTCATAAATTGTAGATGTAGATTAATGGCAGAATTAAAAAGTTGGATGGATATATATACAGGGTGTCCCAGAATTGGCGTGACATCTCTCGTAGGCAGGTAGAAGGAGTAAAACTGAGTCGAAAAGTCCCGAACCATTTTTTTCTATTATTTATAATAAAGGAGTAATTGTTGAGTAAATCAGGCCAATCAGCGCCGATCTTTAGCCAGGCGCACGTCAGTGAACTGCGCGGAGTGCTCACACACAGCCCGGCGCGCTTCGCACAATTACATTTTAATATGTATATGTTATAGTATATGCTGTTATATTAGCTCCTCCCATATGTCGCTATGGGTAACACCGTTAGCGCGCGAAGCGCACTGGGCTGTCTTACGCGCGTAAGACAGCCTGATGCACGCTTATTCGCGGATCTTTGTTAATTAAAATCTCAGTAACTATTGCGAATCTAGCAAAATGGTATAGGACTTTTCGACTCAGTTTTACTCCTTCTACCTGCCTACGAGAGATGTCACATCAATTCTGGGACACCTTGTATATATTATAAACTCAAATCAAACTTGAGTTTTTAATAGAGCTCCTAAATTCTATCAAAGTGAAAGTGATGGCACACAAAAGTGTCGTAAGAAAACATAATGAAATATGTGTTATCAATGTTTTTCTCTATGATTCTATTGAGTAATTTTTAAGTAAAAACCGAAATACTATAATATTTATCGTAATTTAATTTATCATATCAAACAATTTTTGTACCTGAGGTTTATTATACATAAGTTCATTAAATGTCAAAGAAAAACAAGCTCCTACAAATACTCCAGTGTTTGTTCCATCTAACTCTTCAGGATTAAGTCCAGCATCAATAATTGCTTCATAAGTGTGTTCCAGTAACATTCTAGCCATAGGATCTAATGCTTGAGCTTCAGTCATAGAAATGTCGAAATATTGTGCATCAAACTTCTCTATGTTATTCATCTTGCCGAGTCTAGAGGGCATGTCAAACTCAGCTGCCAAAATTCAAATAGTTTCCATCAATATATTTACTTTGCGCTAAATTTCGGATCAAATATCTTATAGATCGCTTTTCATATACTGTAAAAATTCGAAGTGCATTTTTAGCTCAGAAATTTGTGTACTTGTGTAACTGCAATTAATCGAGTAGCTCTATTTGTCGTTTTGTTTTCGGTTTTCAATTTCTAATGCCAAATGCAGCTACATATCGCATTTTACATTTAGGATTGTTTTAAGTTTTCAGATAAGTTTATATTTAAGATTGTTTTATTGGCTTACAATAAACGTACGAGGCTTTCAATACATTACTTTAGCGAGAGTAAACGCCGCCATCGATCAGCTACTCGATAAGAACGTGAAATGTGTAAAGTTTACGTTTTATGCTAATGAATAGAAATGTGAAGGAATTATGCAGTAATTAGCCAATCACTCAGTTCTTCTCTTTCTCACACACACACCCACACTCAACAAAAAATATCTTACCAGTGTTCCATCTTTGATGATCGTTCGAAGCAAGATCGATTTCATTGAAAAGATTATCCTGAAGTTGTTTCATATTATCAGAATTAGGAAATCGTCCAGCAATACCAGAGATAACAATTTCGTTGTTTGTATTACACGAAGTAGATTGTTTGTTGCAGTCCATATTTGCTTCTTTTGTTGTTAACGTTAATGTATATATCAAATATAGGTCCTTAAATAAACATTTCAAGGAGACTATTAATCCTCAGTTTTAGTTTTTAACAATAACTTTACTAAATAATGTGTAGAAACGCTTGTATCAAATCGTTCAAACAAATATTTCTAATTTAGAAATTTCAGAGTCTAAAGATTTTTTATAAATAATACTATGTATAAAAAATAATGACATTTAAAACTGTTGTAATGGTTAGATGCGTCAAATAGCATTTACTTTTCTTTACGTAGAATTATTGTGTGTTTTGAATGGGTCTGGAAGATCCATGTTTGTTTGTGAACAATTACGGAACTATAAAGTGTAACAATTAGACAGAGAGAGTAACACGCATTTAAAAAGAATTTAATAATTAATATCTTTAACTCTCATATAATAATATCATATGAAACTCATAATAATTTTGTACTATTTTCAGTTGTTTACATCATATTTTATGTTTGATAAAAAAGAAGATTTTATATGATTAAATTGTTGTTAATCACAGCGCGTAAGCGACGTTGTTGCTGACTATGTCACGCGCAGTCACAAATTAAATTTCACGTTGAGTAAGAATTTTGCAAACAATTTATCACAAATTTCGCAATTACGTGCGCATAGATCGGTGGCGTTACCTTAACTTTTTCACTATGAAGTGTTTCGTGCAAGAATTTTGGTTTTGATATTGTTGCCGGAGTAATTATGTACTCTACCAGAATAAGGTATGCAATAGCAAGATACGCTATTTTGTACCTACATACAAAACTATTTGCATGTGACATACAATCAAACGGCGGTATGCAAAAAAACATATTTTTATGTGTTCCGACAATAGCTTACTCTCATAATATACGCTTGACTTTTTAAAACAATTATTCTAACGCAGTTTGATCATACTGGTACTTGTTAGCTCATAATATACTGGAAAAACAACTCTTCTCAATTTGATAAAGCAACATAAAGTTATACTATCATTACTAACTTTATGTATAAATATAAATATAACATTTTCAACAGTTTTATCGAATAAAGTGTTTAATATTTTGTAAATAATATACTGAGAACTGCTTATAGGTATAGAGAACATTATATAAAACACAAGAGTAATCACACATTGTATATAAAATAAATAAATATATATATATATATATATTAACGCGCACCTCACTTTTTATTGCAAAGGTGCAGCGCACCTTCGGCACACTTTCTTTTCAAGCATATCTTAAAATGTTACTCACCAAATCTTGAAGTTGGGCGCCAAGTGTGAATGCTCACGCCGAAGTATCGGCGTTACTCTCTACTCTCAAGAATTTTGCTCGCTAAATAATTAGACGCGAGGGCAATAGTACTTGACAGCTCAGTTTAACTGTAATACGGAAAAGCATGGGCTCAGGAGGCGGATTGTTTTTTGAACAGTCCAGCTGATCAAGTTTCTTTACTATTATGTCAAGTAGAGAAACTTGATCAGCTGGACTGTACAAAGAAAAATTTATTAGATAAATTACGGTTTCTTTCTGGCAGAGCGCTCGCCAGTAATATCGGGACGACACTTACTTGTCGCGAGCTTAGACCGGCAAATATTAATATTCGAGCACAAGATCTTTAAATTATTCGTGTGTCAATTTCTTTACGCCTGTTTCTCGCGATCGTGAGTCGATTCGCCCTAAGATTGTCGCGCGAGAATGACCGCGAGATGATACAGTTGCGCAGGAGTGCGTTAACGCGGGCGCACGGCGGATGATGAGTTGGACAAACCCTAATAGGCACATTTGTGAAAATATTGCACAAAAATGGCATCATGAATGACGATTTTGCAATGATTGCACTAAGATGATTCGCCATAACGCAACAGTTTTGTCGAAATAAAATTTTGTAAATAATATTTGTCAAAAATTACGAAAAAATCGTTATGTAGTTCCACAGTATATACTTCCAATAGGTAAATTGTGTAAATTGCACAAATATGACATCATGAGTGACAACGATTTCTTGCATTTCTTCATATGCAATTATATTTCTACATATTTGAAACATCACATAGCTGAATTTCTTTTCTCAATTATTGGACAATTTCTTTGTGAAATTAATTTTGCAAATATACTGCTAAGATGATTTGCCATATCGTTCATCTTTTGCCGAAATAGTATTTGGAAAGTAATTTTGCAAACAACTACAAATATTTCAGAAAAGATCAATGGTTTTACACATCTCTTTCCTAAAATATGTCTGTATAATTGCAAATTACAATTTTAGTGCAAGATTTCGTCACATAATTTTGTAAATGGTTTCATTTATCAAGGAAGATGTGCGGTCGCGGCGGAAAAGTTGTTCGAGCGTGTATACGGCAGTGGCGGACAATAGATCGTACGTAGCGGCAAAGTAAATATTCGAGCGTTGATACAATAGATGCTCGGCCACGACAAAGTAGTTGTTGTGGACCGCCGCGCGGCCGCGTAACTTCCTAATTTTTGGCACTTCCAACTCTAGTCGCACGGTTTTCCTTATCAGACCTCGGCGATCACAGCTTGTCGGCTACAATTTTACGGCAATAATTAATACTGATAGAGTTTGTCCGCTCGCTATGATGAACACAAGGAACAGAAGGAATCGGCTCAATATACCAAAATACAGAAAAAAAAAAAAAACATAAATATGTAACGCTTACACGTAACGAACTGTGATAAAACGCGGATTGTTGCGACCATATCAGAACATGAGAGAAGCAGCAAATAAACGCGAATAGTTCGTACAATTGTCGAACGCTAAACACAACGCAACACTTTTTCGAGATTATAATAATTATTATCAGTATTGGACTCGCGGGGTAGCCCGTCGAAATTCGATCCACCAAGAATATAAATCACGAAGTATGCGAGAGAGAGCAACAGTTACTTACGTTCGTCGGTCCTCTTCTTGCAGGTAGTTGGCAAGTAGAATCGGCTTTTGTTTTCTCCTTGTAAGGATATCACTCAAGTCTTCCCCGGGGCTCTTCGGCACTCACTTCGTACTGGGAACTGCTCGGAGGCGAGGAACTTGTGTGGATCACGGTACGCGCAATAATGAGCTTACCTCGTTCGGCAATTACTCTTTTGTCTGAGCGCTGTTCTTCGCGCTAGATTGGTGGGCTAATCATATGCTTTCTCCCGTGGCGCAGTGATTAACGGCAGCCACGTATGCTTTGGCATAATAGCGACTCAGGGCTCTTTTCTTGCCGTATCAGGCTCGCTCTTCTTTGCTTATTCGATTAAATGAGCTTACTGAAGCCCATCCCTTTGCATTACGGAACGCGTCATTCTACAGAAAGCTCCGATTCAGGTTTTGCGAAGTCAAAGTGCATGCATTTCCTGTTTTTGAGCCCGCCTTCGAAATTATCGTCGAGTGCTCTATGTCTCTGACGCCTTACGCCCCTGTTCTGTTTTCTGTCTCTACCTTTTCTCTTCTTCTCTCTTCTTGATCCAACAGCTACGTACAGTGTGTTGTTTTTTCTTCGTAAAAATAAATTACAAAATAGCCGCTAAGCAGCCCGCACGGCACGGAATAATATAACAATGTGACGAAATTGCAACAATGCGAGAATTAAGCACATTAATTATCAGCACAACGTGCTGAAAATTAAGAACATTACAATTTTCTCTCTATTATATCTCTTTATAGTAAATATACAGAATAGGGGAGCCCCCTTCGATCGGCTTCTCGTTCAAATATATTATTAAGATTATCTTCCTAAGTAACAATATAAAGGTTGTAGTCGTCGTTCATTGTTTATAAAAAAGTTATGATCAAAAACAGGGGTGTAGTTCCGAATGGCTCCTGCTCCCGATCAATCTGAAATTTTGCACAAAAATAGTGTTCGATGGGACAAACAAACCGCGCGTAGCCCCCTTTCGAAAAATAAAAAACAAATTTACAAAAAAATAAAAATTATATCGCTTAAACTCAATTTTATATGACATGTATACACATATATAATATACGATAAGAATATATTATGTTATAAGTCTATTCACTGAAAAGAATTTTAACGTTGCGATCAATGGGAGTAGACAGTGCTTTGCACAAAAAGTTACAAATTCATTTTTTGCAAAAAGCAAGATTTACTCTCTATTGTGTGATGCTTTGGAAAATTAGGGTTATAATTATATTTATCCCAGTGTTAGCTGACAGATTTTCTTCAAGCACAAGCTAATTAAACTATTTAAAATGATATATTTAAAATAAGTATAAAACAGTTATAAACTACAAAATCACAAAAAAATATAAAAATGTATTAGAAAACTACAGATTAAAAAGCTCAATAAAAACAAATGTGAAAGAATGTTTTGTCAGTCGGACATATTTAAGCCGCCATCTCGAAAAAACTTTTAAAAAGAAGCGTTTTTTAAGATCATCAGGGGTGCAGGAGAAGGGGCGAAGCCTCCCTTTTGGTAAGGCGCAGCCTCATTCTGCTTACGCACTTACAACACAACCATAAAAACTTACTTTTTTAATTGATTTTCAAAAACTTACTACATATCATATAGAATCGAGTTTAGTCGACAAAGGTTTTAGTTTGTTTTTAATTTGTTATTCAATTCTCGAAGTAGGGACTACGCGCGTTTTATTTGTTTCATTGAACATTATTTTTGTGCAAAATTTCAAATTGATCAAGAAAAAGAATCATTCGGAAATACACCTACAATCGATTTTAGTCGATATAGTTTTTTTTTTTTTTTTTTTAAATTTGTTTTTTATTACCCAAAGTGGAGAGTACGCGTGTTTTGTTTGTCCTATTGACCACTTTTTTTGTGCAAAATTTCAGATCGATCGGGAGCAGGAGCCATTTGGAACTATATCCAAAAAAAGTTTCATACATAAATCTTTTTTCCCGACATGTACCTTTTTTGTGTGTTGAAAACATGTAAGCAGAGTGGCGCTGCGCCCCCCGCAGGTGGAATGGCTTTGTTTCTCCTCCCGTTTCCCCCTCGAAAAAAAATAGAAAACGACTTCCGATTACAGGTCGTTTTATGTCGATAGTACGTACGTGATTTTTAACGACACTTCATCAGAAGTCATTTTCTATTTTTTTTCGAGGAGGGAGCAAGGGGGACGGGCAAAGCCCCTCCACCTGCGGGGGGCCGCAACTCCCCTTTGCCTACATGCTTTCAACACACAAAAAATGTACTATTGACAGCTCACAAGAATTTGCTCTACTCACAAGGTAACAGACGCGAGGGGCAAGTGGAATCGTCCGTCCGCTCCACTCATTCTTCTCTACTAGATAGGTTTTGTCGAGGCGGTGGGGATATGCCTACAAGCGAGAACGTATCCGTGAGCTCACACGGTTCTCTTATTAATTGAAGCTGTTTTTATTCTTACAAGCATATAAAACATTTTATTTCAGCGAAATAATATTTAGATTTTTATCAAAAATATTCCTACGCTACTAGTGTGAATGTGTGTGTATGACGAACGCAGTCATCTAAAGAAATTTTTATAATTTTTCTAATAATTGCAGAAGAAGGGGATAGAATTTAGAAAAATAAGAGATTGGAATTTTGCGTACTTGAGGAAATCCGGAGAATTTTACTAGGATGATAGAGTCATCCGGGAGATTAGCTATTGCGTGCTTAGTGATTCAGGAAATTTCTTACATAGAATTATATCATTTTCAGTAGGAGGCGGGTTAGCAATGGAAAAGATGTCGACTAATGATATAAAATGTACTAATCCAATCGAAGGGTGGGACTTCTCATCTTCGTCGTAAGATATTTCAGGTTCGGGAGATTCGGGCAAAAAGAGAAAAAGAATAGTTTCGAGATGAAGTAGGAACAAATTGAAAGTCGGGAATTTCATCGAGTGTTATTGGGAAATAAGAAGGTTCATGATAAGGAGAGGGAGTCGGAGAAGGTGACGAAGGAGGTAACGGAGTTCGCTGTATATCTGAGTGTATGTGTGTGTTCCCAGACGGCACAATGATGTATTTAAGATGTCTTGAAGATATCTCACAGAGACTTTGAATGTGCAAAAGATATCTCGTTGAGACATTTTCGAACGTGTAATGATATTCAAATGATATCTCAGGGATATGCCTGAGACTGCTAATGTCCACATCAAAAACATGCAAAAGATATCTCTCTTGCAAAAGTTTTAAAAATGATATCTGGTTGATGTGTAACTGTGATATTGTGTGGAGGTCCCAAGGATGTCTCCGTATAGAAATTTATTCTAGATATATCTTAGATTCTCTGTGGAAATTCCATATTGATTCAAACTAGAAGTGTAACGCTTGCAATTTGAAAATTCAAAAAAGGATTCTATCTAGAATCTAAATAGGTTTTCCTAATTTAAAAAAAATGACACATTGCCTTGTGTGAGAGGAGAATTATTTCGAGATTTTACTCGAATTAGTCTTTGAAGGCCTGATACAGCTCGCCGATCAACTGATGAACTCCATTGAAAGGGGCCGGACCTGAAAAATCCTAAGGTGATTAGTGAGATTTGAACTCGAGACCTCCGCAAGCCCATATCCGCAGCCCCTGCACTCAGTCCGCGAGACTACTTGCTTCTTACTAAATTATAATTGTTTTTATCTACTTATTCTTGAGCTATTGTACACATTTTGTTTATTATTTATTTTAATTATTATTTAATAAAAATATTGCAGTGCAATGTATAAATTGCAACTTGAGAATTGATTTTCATATCTCGCGCAAAATATATTGTGCGAAGATTTGTGATATCATCAATAAATATTTCAAAAATATCATAAGAATATCACGGGAGTGTAATACACTGCATTCAAATTTCCTATACATTAAGCGATGTCTTTGAGATATACTTGAAAGAAAACAGTACTAATATTCTTAGAAGAATATCTGTGTGATATTTCAGGGATGTGATATCACATGATATCACAAAAATGACGTAGAAACGATATCATTCTACAATCAAATGATATCATGTGCCGTCTGGAGTGTCGTTTGGTACAATTTGTAAATTCTGGCCATTTTTAACAGATAATCACCAGTTTACTTTATTTACTTTTGTAGTTTATAAAATTTTTTTATATAATTGTACAAGGTTTTTGTATTTCTGAAGAGAACTCAATATAAAATCGAAACGTAACATTATTTGTGATTACTTGGAATAACAATGCAAACTTCCTTACTTGGAATAAACTCTACTTATGCACGTGTTTAAGACTTTGAGTGGCCATTCACGTTTCTGATTTGTGTTTCACCATTTTTTTAGTTTTACATTCACAAATTCTTTACCGTTATATTAATCTTTTACTAAAGATATTGCATTCTTATTAAATATTCTTTAGTAGTGTTACATTTTGTAACGTGTGGTCTCGCCGGTCACCGATACGACTCATCTATCTCGTCCTTGTTCCAAAAGAGCACTCGAGCAAACGCGCCGTGTCGTAAGCACCTATGGAATTTTCAGAAGCATAGTTTTACGGGAACATAAAATTAATATGCTAGTCGGTTATCTTTTTTTTTATAATTCCGTGCGGGATGGCATCTCACCGCCAACAAGAGCACTCTATCCGAGACCAACAAAAAGTGACCAGAGAAAAGCAAACAGTGAGTTTGCGGGAGATGATAGCCTAGCAGCGAGAATAAAGCGGAGGAAGCGCGAAGGCCAAGCTGTTCACCGGTAACGAAAGATCTTCATAGCAACAACATCCGACGATCGCCGAAGGCGGCAACTCACGCATCAGCAAAATAAACCGTATTTCTAGAGAATATTCAACAACAACAACAACAAGTAGTGCGTTGAGCGAGCTCAAATTTTAACCAGTCAACGGAGCTGTGCTATACTTCTATCGTGCAGACCGCTGTCATCACGCTATTCGCGGAGAATCGAGACCGGCCCGTGCGCGCGCGGATTCAGCCGCGGAGAAGCGGCAATCATTGACTAATTCTATCCCGCCGAATTTCTTTCCCAGTAAGCGATCTCTCGCAAATCTCTCGGAATGATAAAAACTCTCGAGGAAGATCGCTCTCTTATGATCCACAACTCCGACTAAACGTAGCGAGCGACTCTGAGGATGATTGGC